TCAGATGAATGCTTAATCCATATCTCTGGGTAGTGTGTGTTTGGTTTCATGTATCACAAATGGCAACTAATTTCAAATAAAGCAGTAAAATCTTACCAATGGAAATATTCCAAAGAAGAAACATGGATTGGAGTCTACTATATACCTACTTCAAATTGGTTGAAACAAGATTGTTTTCAAATCAATTGTAAAAATACTGATGATAGTGTTTCTTTCTCATGCCTGTTATACTGAAATCTTCCTTAAAGTTAGGCTTTGCCTTAGGTTTTGAAGACAGCCATTTGACCCAGTTTCTTTTAAGTTGTACAAAAATTACTTTATCCATCAGTGTTACTATCTAACTTGAACAGTAATGTTGACCTCATAATTTTAGCTCAAGGATAATAATCAGGAGCATCTACAATTAAATTAATATTCTTCTCCATTTGCTTATTTGTGAAAAGAATATAGAATTACTTCATGAGTATTTGAAGGTTTTGAATTAGTGAAGTGCTTTGAAATAAAATTTATACCCGCCTTATAGTTTTAAAAATCTCTAGGCTCACATAATTGCCATCGTGTTCCAAAAGATGAAATTGAGTTCTTAGATGGTAATCATAGTCAGTGTTGAGTAATATTTTTATATTTTCATAACTTTATAATTTGTTAACATGGCTGAAGAGTGTTATGTGATTAGTAACATGACAAATACATGGGTGCCTGATTAATAAGTATTGATGTTATAAATAACATTCATTTGTTTTTTAGGTATTCCAACTTTATTATATGGACTGGGCTCCTGGTTATTTGCCAGAGTCACAGAGACTGTGCATACCAGTTGTGGACCAATAACAGTTTATTTTCTAAATAAAGAAGATGAAGGTGCCATGTACTGAAAGTATGCATTGGAGAACATAAATATCATTGGATTTCCTCTGTGCGTATGTGCAATATTTATTTTTCACCTTTTAAAATAAAACTTTGCAAACATCTTTTTCTTTCTGTGTTGTCTGGTTCTTTAAGATGAATCATTGCCCTCAAGAGGTAAAGCTTTTCATACATTTTTATATATTACGTACTCTGTTTAGCTAATGGGAACTACAAACACGTGAAGCTTCACACGATTTTTTTCCTAGAACTAGGTTAAACTACAGGTAAAAAATGATTATAATGTAATAGATTCTATAGTTGCATATTAACAATTTAAATTGACTCTAAAGAGAAAATATAGATGCCCACACAAAAGAGGAGGGGGGAAAATCTTTTATATGACACTGGAAAAAGAAGTAGAGGATATTAGGGTATATGGTGGAGATAACAGTACATCATTGGCAAATCTGAAGTCTGAACCACTCAGCTGCCAGGATTTTAAATAGAAATGTTTTAAAGCCCTTATGCCATTTACCTGGAGGAAGAGTTGGAGTGTAATGAGTGTAATGTTAGAACTTCTTGTTGCTTAAAGAATCCAAAACCATATTGTTTTTTAAAAATGTAATAATAACTCTGATTAATGTAAGTACAGCAAGGTGAATGAAATTAAGACATTAAAAGTTAAAGTAGCATGCTGATAAAACTGTAAGAACAATTAAGTTCTAAAAAGACCCAGAAAAATTAATTTG